AAAAAAAAAAAAAAAAAAAAAAAAAGTTCCTACTTCATTTAACAAGGTTTTAAGATTTAGAAGGCCTTTTTTCAGGCCACGTAAGAAAACAAGTTTTAAAATGGTAATCTAAAAAAAAAAAAAAATTATCTAACTAATTTAGAGGTGTCGCAATTAAACTAAGGGTTGGGAGGCAGTAGACGCTATATATAATTTTATTTTATTGAAACCAAGAAAGTAGAAGTTCAATTGATTTAAATTTTCCCTTCCAAATTCTGAACTTTGTCCTTTTCTACTTTTAAGTAGATTAAACATAAATACATACCTTCTCGAATGATTAAGTAGCTAGAATATGCCTGACGACTTCTAAAGATAGTATAGAAAAAGAAAATTCCTTTGAATCAATTAAAGGCATCATCATGGGGGCACTACAATATTTAGCTACACGACAAGAGAAAAAAATAATCATAATAAAAATACCTCTATTTTAATAACATTATAAAAATACCTTCAAAAGTATGCTTGGAAGAAGCATTTATTTAACTTTTCTCTTCCCGAAAACTACTTCTACACCCAACTTTTCCTTTGAAAGTAGTATTTGTATGTATATGTATATAAATATAGATATACATATATACTATTCCAAACTCGCTCCAAGATCAAGTCCGACTAGTTCCCCGACACATGATGGCAGAATTATTTTTCCATATAGTAAAGAAAGAGAGAGGTCAACTAATACTAATGTTCTACAAACTTGCAAAATTGAAGATAATATCCTTTGATATTACATATTTAAACCGTAGTCTATATAGTCTTGTAATACATTTTTTAATACTACACATCCGCTCCCTTCGATCAATCAAGTTTCAAGACGATTTTTTTACGGCGGAAAATTGGCATTGGTCGAATGTTGAAACGGGTAGCGAAGGCCAGATAGGAACAGGCGAATAATACATAGATTTTGAACCAGATGGATGAAAAAAAGGTTAAGTATGTAGATAAGGAGGTTAGGACCATTAGAGTGGTGATGGAAACAAGACACTTCATGGTTGAGAGATCCCCTTCAGTTCCTTCATGGGGAAAATGACCTTGAGAATGAAATTTGTCAAGTAATTGGTCCTTATTGCTGAATGTGTCCATTAGCCAATTGGCAACTTCATTTTCTGTAGTTGGAATGTTGTCAATAGGAATGCGTTGGATGTGTATATGAACTTCAGAAGGTTCTAAACCAAAGACATTGTCCAATAAAGAGGGGCACCGATGTTTGTAACCGATGGTCACATCATAAACTACATGAGAAAAAATGAAACTCCTCAGATTCTATACTTGACAAGTAAGATCTCCTTTTGTTTCCAATTTTGAAACTATTGGTGCAATCCACGGACCATACCACCATATCAGTTCCTTTGGGGTATCTAAATTTTAGCTACCATGTATTTAGTTCAACAACTTCGATGCTCTAAACTAGGGAAAGAGATGGAAGAAACATTTTAAGCAGCAAAAGACAGAGATGGAGAGTACCTGCATCTAGACATTGCCTCAAATCCTGTACGCACGTATGGAAGCCCTTTGTTTTGGGAAGCAACAGGTTTTTCAAGATGGGCAAACCATTTTCTGCTGCATACTTTTGACTTCGAATGCGCTTCTGTTCACTACACAAAACAGAAAAGAGTAACGTGAAGCTTATTAGAGAGTTTCTATCAGAATAAACAAGAAAAGCAAGGCTTGAATGGTGGAGATACTAAGCACAAATACCATTACATAACGGCAATAGTAATATTTTTCCAAGCAAGGAAGAAAAATGGAACTGGGATGTGCAAGTAATTACGTGAAATCTGTGCCTTCAGGGAAAAGGGCAAGCCATAAGGGATCATGGTCATCCTTGAAAGTTGAAAGCATTTGGCGCATTGTTGATTCATCAACCTCCCATTTTCTTTCCACAGAGATGAACTCTAATATGTGAAATCCCCAGCCAAATACTGGTAGCTTCATCAAACTGCTCTTGAGTATATACTTTATGTACCCTAGTTGTCCTTTTCGTATTGCAAGATCCCACAGGTACATCCAATCAACTTCTGTTCTATGGTTTGCAATAATCAAGACACGCTCCCTTGCTGGGACCATTTCTCCAGAAAAAATAACTTTCGTTTTGTTAATTTTCTCAAACAGAAAAGGCCACACAGCTAACCAAGAACCAAAGAAGAAGGAAGTAGCTTTTCGACTATAATGTATGCTGAATACTCGAACAAAAATGGCACTGATAAAACCATAGAATACTAACATCATAAATGCTGTTAAAAGAAGCACCAGTAAGCACAACAGACCCCTGAACAGCCTAGCTGGAGTTAGGGTGCGATCCCTCATTTCAACATCCTTGACTTCCATACCCTCTTTGAATCATTCACAATATCCAGAACAAACGTATTCCCACTATCACCAGAGATTAGTGGGTCTCCTGATTAAGAAGGCAACACAGAGTGATTAGGACATGAAGGTATATCTCATTGACTCAATTAATAGTATGACCTGAACTTCTCACTTTTCAGCGAGGTGGTGCCCGTTGGAATACAGTTGTGGCTCGTGAGAGTGATATGGTTCTAATACAGAATCATTTAGCTGTGGATAAATTCCTCTAAAATGCTCTATATGAAACTAAACAATTAAATTAGAATGGAAAGTACATATAATAGATTATACAAGATCAAGAACTGAAAATATACAAAACCTCACGAAAAGAAAGAAAAGAGCAAGAAAGTAATAAATGCCGCATCAGTCCAGAGCTAATGCCTGGTGAAGCAGCATTAAGTGCCATTGTTGATTCCACCAACCTCAAAGGTAATGACTCCCTTTTCCTCATAATATTCATCTCAATTCACTTATTGTCAGAGACAAAAATCCTGCCATGGGAAGGAGGATAGAATCATACAGCATTTCTTGATTCACACGTAGTTATTTCTCCAGGTAAAATAATTTGGTTTTTAAGTTTCTTTACTCCTTTCGTCCTACATTACCCTACCGTCGTTCCTTGCAAACTTCAGAACTGAAGAAACTTACTATATACATAGTTACTAGTTAGTACAATGGGGTTCGATGTTCCAGAAAAGAAAGAAATCCATAACATTCCACATTTTCCCTCTATCTCATCACTTCTGGTACTTGTCTTACATATTGTCTTAAATACGACCAACAATCGTTACAGTAAGAGAGAAAATAACACGATTTGAAGCAAAAACTCATCCATGTAGTGCTTACACTGTTATCGCAACATTCCTATGAGAAAAGACCAAAATCAATGGATGCGATAGAATACAATAATAGGATTCGTATAAATTTGGTATAGACGAACAAATAAAGGCAAATGAACGACGAACCGCACAAGCAAATATCTTACTTGCTAGTGCTCGCTAAGATAAGATCTTCATCTTTTGTTCCCTGATCGATCACAAGTCCACAGCCAACAAAATAGGATCACACAGCTTAATGCGAATCCAGAAATCCAAATATAATCGAATCATACATTCACAACAAGATGTGCATGATCTCGAAAATCACAGAACAAAAGTTTAATACATTTACGATAAAATACAAAGCCAATGGACATAAATCCGATTCGACAAAAGAAAAATTATTCCAAATCCTGTTTACTCGCACAAAAATCCGAGCGATCAAATCACCACGTGTCAGAATACACCACAACACCGAAAAAATCGGCAAGAAGAAAAAAACAGTCGAACATTTATGCATGTTCTCGTAGGTTCAGCAAACTGAGAAATGAGACAAAGAGCACTAGATTTTCGCGGCAGTTTCTCAGGAACCAAATAGAAACTGTCGTAATGGGGGAAAAACAAAATGGCGATAAGTAAGTGGCTTACCTCAAATGCATTGACCGCCTCAGGATTTGACGATGAACTTCACAGCAAGGTGAAGTGAGAAAACGAGGTGAAGAAATTTCTGGACCGATAACAGTGTCAAAGATTCTTTTCTTGGAGAGGTGATTTATAGGCGCTCCGGTACTCGCTGAATTTTCTGGAGCGTTGGTTGCGTGTCAGGTTGATTTATACAATTTACTGAAAAGGACAATCGAGAGTTTGAAACTACGATCTTGCCACCGCCCTCCTTCCGCCTTGCTTCGTTGTTGTCACGGGCAACAGCGTCTGCAGAAGAGAGAGAAGAGCGTCGGGGGTAACATTGAAATTTTCTAATTTTATTTTAAAGTAAAATCTAATTAATTAAAATTATTTTAATAAATTAATTTTCTCAGTAGGAAACCTACAGGCACATTCATTAACACCTAATTAATTTTATACTTCATTGTTGTACTTTTCTAATCACTTGTCAGTATTTTATTTATTTGTCCAGTTTTTATTTAAGACTATTTTTAATATATATATATATTAAATATATTCGAGTTTATCATAAAACCTCCTGATTTTATTTTTTATTTATATCATCCCTTTCATTTTTTTTTTAATCTATTTTGATTGATTTCTCTTATTTATTTATTTGATTTAGGACGGGATCATAGAGTAACGTGAGAATTGAGCTTGTAGAAGAGAAAATATCGAGGTCACAAAATTTTCAAATATGATATATGTGTGTGATTGCGTTGCTAACCCTAACAATGGATTGGCTCGAGTATTTTAAGGTAAAGCTCCCAAGTGCGGATGCCAATAAAAGCTCCATAGAAGTCAGGATAGATCATGATAGGGTCCTAGGTGTTTTATTTAATTTTATTTAAGGTTAAAAAACTAAGTTATTTATATATTCTTATTTTGAATTGAATATGTAAATCTATCGCTTTATTTTAAGAGTATTTATTATAAGTTTTTTTTGTGTATATGATTTAAATATGTACATGGTGACGTCACTAATTAGGGTAAGAAAATTAAGGGTAATACTTCCAACAGCATCAAAACATGAAAAACGTTGTGTACCGTATCCAATGTTGATGGTAATGCATATCTGCAAGCTACTGGGCCAACTCTCTTGAGAACCTCGAAATGTCCAATAAATCATGGACTAAGTTTTCCCCTTTTGTCGGATCACAATATACCACGAACAGATGCGATCGTTAAAAATACATGATCCCCACGATAATCTCCAGATATTTTCTTCTAATGTCATCATAACTCTTTTGACGGCTTTGAGCAGTTAGGTTTCTCTTCCTAATTTTCTATATCGCCTCATTAGTTGTTAGCATCCATTGTGACATAACTTTTGGTTGCCTACCTACTCCCAGTAGGTCCATAAAGCCTTCGTCATCTAAATAGTTGCCTCATAACTACCTTTATCAAATATAGATGGTTATCTCAACTACCTCTAAAAATCTAATATGCAGGTACGCAACATGTCTTCAATAATCTAGTTTAATCTCTCCGTTTGCCCATGTGTTTGAGGATGAAATGTTGTACTAAATTTCAGTTGTGTATCAAGTGTCTCGTGAAAGACTCTTCCAAAATCAAGAAGTAAATCGTGTGCTTTATCTCACACAACCGAAACTAGTACACCATGCAAGCGTATAATTTCTTTTAAATACAATTGCACCAATTTATCAACTAAATATGTTGACTTCCCCGGTATAAAATGAGCTGTCTTAGTTAGTTTGTTCACAACAACCCATATCACTATAATTCCTGACCGGGTTTTAGGCAAACATGTAATAATATTCATGGTCACTTCTTCCCCTTTCCACTAGGGCTCTTCCCTACTTACGGAGTACAAACCTTATGGGCTAACTCGATGGCACCATTGTCGCACTTGCCAAGCTGGTCCCTTCCTCAACCGCTGCTGATGCTAACATGGTCTCTAATCTGACCTATGATCAGTGGTATGATTAGGATCAACTGATACTTAGCGGTCTTCTCTCCTCCATATCTGAGAAGATTCTTCGCGATGTGGTTGCCGCTACTATGTCCAAGGAGGTGTGGGATACTCTGTAGCGGATGTTTTCATCGTCAACTCATGCTCGCACTGTTCAGATCCGTGTTGAGCTTGTCATGTTCAAGAAATGCGATCTTTTTGCTGCAGGTTATTTTCGCAATATCAAAGGGCTGGCCGCCGTCGGCTCTGCCTTGTGGGATGATGATGTGATCGTGTATCTCCTCACTGATCTTGGCCCATACTATGATCCATTCGTCATCTCGATGACTACCAAGAGTGAAGCTCTCACACTTGATGATGTATTTGCACATCTAATGGCATTTGAAGCTCGCCAACTACAACACCAGGCCGAACTTCAGTTAAATCCTAGATCTTTGGCCAGTTATGCTGGTCGTGGTGGTCAACAGAAGAACCGTGGGTGTGGGGATCGTGGTCGTAGCTATTCTCGAGGTGGCGCACCCTCTCGTTCTGCTGGTGATCGTCGTGACCCTTCTGCTCGTCCTTCCTACCAGATCTGCGGTAAAGTGGGGCATACTGTCGTTCACTGCTGGTATAGGATGGATGAGTCCTATCAAGATGAACCTCCTTCTGCGGCACTGATAGCTACTTACTCCTACAAGATTGATCCAAATTGGTACAACAACATAGACACCACTGATTATATCATTAGTGACCTGGATTGTTTCGTTGTGCGTGAACGCTATCATGGAGGTGAAAAAGTTCAAGTCGGCAATGGAGTAGGTTTGCGAATTTTGCATACTGGTCATTCTTCAATTAATATTATTGCTTGTCCTCTCGACGTAATATTTTGCATGTGCTTGAAATTTTCAAACATCTTTCCCTTCATAAATTTTCCCTTGATAATGACGTATTCTTTGAATAACATCCTTGACATTTTTCTATTAAGGATCGACGGTCGAGGAAAAGTCTTCTAGACAGGAGGTGTGAATTTGGTCTCTATCCTATCAAGCTATCTAATGTTGATGATCTCAAACACACCTTAGTGAGCAGATCTACTAGTCACGCCCAGTGGCATGCACATCTTGGACATTCTTCATCTCAAGTAGTAAAGTCAATTTTGCATCTCAATAATATTTCGTGTGCTAGCGAGTCACCTTTGCCAGTTTTTAATGCGTGTCAGTTAGCAAAAAGTCATCAGTTACCATACACTAGTTCTTCTCATTTGTCTTCGTCACCTTTGGAACTGATTTTTTCTGATGTTTGGGGTCCTACATCTCCATCTATTGGGAGATTTAAATATTATATCAGCTTCATTGATGATTTCAATAAATTTTCATGGATCTATTTGATGCATGTTTGTACAGAAGCTCCTCGTATACTTTTGCAGTTCCAAGCTCCTATTGAGCGCCTCTTGGATACTAAAATCATGTGTGTCCAGTCTGATTGGGGTGAAGAATATCAGAAAATTTGTAACACATTTTTTCGTTCCCTTGGAATTGCTCATCATGTTTCGTGTCCTTATACGCATCAACAAAGTGGGTCTGCTAAACGCAACCACCGTTATATTGTTGAAACTGGTCTAGCCCTTCTAGCTCTGATGTACCTATTAAATTTTGGGATGACGAGTTTCTTACAGCCACATATCTCATCAATTGTCTTCCTACTCGTATCATCGATAACAAATGCCCCTTAGAGCGTCTTTTTCATACCCCACCCAATTACTCCTTATTCAAAGTTTTTTGGTGTGCTTGTTGGCCTCATCTTCGCCCTTATAACAAACAAAAGCTCTCTTTTCGATCTAAGAATGTGTCTTTCTAGGCTACAATTCTTTACCTAAAGGGTATAAGTGCCTTGACACCGAGTCTGGTTGTGTCTATATTTATAGAGACGTCATATTTGATGAGAATGTTTTTCTGTTCAAGAGAGCCCCACCCAATTCTTCCCCAACCTTGTAAGTCGACACACAATGCCCCTGATTTGCGCACCTTGTATTTGGGTAACAATAATACTAATTTGGAGCATGATCATATGCATATAGTTGTGCCTACTAACTCTTTGGATGCAAAAAATCTGGTGCCCACATCAGATTGCTACTGCAATCCTCCGTGTCGCTGTCACGCAAATCGGCATCGGTTGTTTCGCCAATGATTAGGGCCTCAGATCCTCCGCCAGCAGATGTTATTCCCGCATTGCCTGGGCCCCACTCGAATTCTCTGGGCTTTGATCCTGGGGACCAGTCTCCTAGCTTACCTCGGAGTGCGCAATGCCCGGTCGAGTCCTCAACTGCTGGTCGACCGACTGCTATAGCACTGGCTGCTCCCCTCACAACGTCTGGTACGATTGTCCCCTCAACTGTGGATCCTACACCTACTGCTCATCCATATGGTACTCGATTGAAGCACAATATTAAGCAACTCAAGGTGCGTACAGATGGAACAGTAACATATTTTGTGGTTCGATCTTCTACCTCAGAACCTATTTCACATATTACTACTATGAAGCATCCCCTCTAGTGGCAATGAATGATGAATTTCACGCACTTCTAAAAAATAAGACATGACACTTAGTTCCTCTTCGTGCTAGTCTTAACGTTATTGATTGCAAATGAGTTTTCAAACTCAAACAAAAGCCAGATGACTCTATTGATCGCTACAAAGCACGCCTGGTTGCTTAATGGTTTAAACAACAGTATGGCGTTGATTATGATGATACCTTCAATCCGGTTGTTAAGCCCACTACCATTCGACTCTTACTATCTCTTGTTGCTTCTTGTGGTTGGGCTATTCGGCAAATTGATATTCAGAATATTTTTCTTCATGGTCTTCTTAATTAAGATGTTTATATGAAGCAGCACCTGGATGTGTGGATTCTCAACATCTTGGTTATCTCTGCAAGCTGGATAAGTCGCTTTATGGCCTCAAACAAGCTCCACGTGCGTGGTTTTCTCGCCTTAGCTCCAAACTATTACAGTTGGATTTTACACCTTGAAAGACTGATGTCTCTCTTTTCATTTTTAACAAGGCAGGCATTTGGATGTATACCCTCATCTATGTTGATGACATTATTAACATCAACTCATCTTCTATGGCTACTGCGAAACTTCTTACACAACTTCGAGATGATTTTGCTGTCAAGTATCTTGGCGCTTTAAGTTATTTTCTTGGGATTGAGGTCTGTCATACTTCGAATGGACTTGTTCTGACACAGCATAAATACATCCAAGATTTATTGTCCATAACCAATATGCTCATCTCCAAATGTGTGCCCATGCCTGTGCTTCCTAGTGAGAAGTTGTTATTGGATGGTGGTGAAAAGCTCTCTCCTAAGGATACTACTCGACATCGGAGTGTCGTTGGTGCTCTCCAATATTTGTCTCTGACATGTCTTGATATCTCCTTCTTTGTCAATAGAGTGTGCCAGTTCATGTCCTCCTCGACTTCTAACATTGGACAACGGTCAAACGGATTCTCTGTTATCTACATGACACTATTGATATGGGCTTGTGTTTTACAAAGTCCAGCACTGATTTGCTTAGTGCCTTCTCGGATGCTGTTTGGGTCGGGAATCTTGATGACCGTTGAAGCATTGGAGGCTATGTGATCTTCTTTGATGACAATCTTATCTCTTGGAGTTCAATGAAATAATCAACAGTTTCTCGTTCTAGCATGAAGGTCGAATACAAGGCGGTTGCTAATGCCACTACCGAATTAATCTGGATCCAAGTCCTCTTGCGTGAGCTTGAGATTTCGCAAGTGCAAGTGCCTGGCCTGTGGTGTGACAACATTGGTGCCACCTATTTGTCCACCAATCCAATCTTTCATCGACGGACGAATCATGTTGAGGTTGATTATCACTTCGTTCGTGAATGAGTATCGACTCGTCAGCTTGATGTGCGACTAATCTTCCAAAGATTAGCTCGCCGATATCATGACAAAGCCACTGCCAGCTCCTTCTTTTAGCAATTTTCAGCGCAATCTAAACTTAGTAGTAAATCGTCCAGATTGAGGGGGGCGTTAAACGTAGAAGGTTATATCCATACATAGTAGGAGAATCCTCTATTCTTGGAGCTGCATCTCCTGATTTCCTGGTTTGTTGTCGTAGATCAAGGCCTAGACATGTAATCTTCATTGTACACATCTTCTATATATATATATATATATGAAGCCGTGACCCATAAACGTCATTGTGCCATTCAAACTAGACCTAAAAAGTACTATATTTTAATCTCGACTATTTTTTCTTTCTTCTTCCTCATCTTTCTTACTTTTTTAATCGACTTTTTTTCACATTGATTAAAAATATTAAAACCATAATTAGGGTTTAGGGTTTTTATCATCTTCTTATCTATATTCTCCAACTCTCTTCAATCTCGTATTTATCGGGTATTTTCTTATACGCCATATTTATTGTATCGTAAATGACTACGGGACCTTGTACATAAATCGTGACCCTTTTCATGAATCGAAAACAAGATTGGATGAAGTGGCATCAAGGAAGAATGACATTTGGATCTGAGTTAGTATTTCTTCTAGAAATTTTTGCCATAGTTGTGAGAATCATAGTGTAAGAGCCCAAACAATACAAGCTCACTGCTAACGGATATTGTCCTCTTTGGGCTTGTCTAAAAATTTTAAAACGCGTCTATTACGGAGAAGTTTTTTGTGATAGTTGCGAGAATCATAATGTAATAGCCAAAGTTCACTACTGACCGATATTATCCTCTTTGAGCTTTCCCTTTCGGGCTTCACCTCAAGGTTTTTAATTGTGAGAACCATAATGTAATAGCCCAAGTTCAACGCTAAAAAATATTGTCCTATTTAGGTTTTCTCTTCTCTCAAGATTTTTAAAACCTATACATGAGGGAGAGGTATTTTTTCCATAGATGCTAGAACCATAATGTAACAACCTAAGTTCACCGCTATCAAATATTGTCCTCTTGCGAGAATCATAATGTAACTGCCCAAGCTCACCGCTAGCCGATATTGTCGTATTTGAGCTTCCCCTCAAGGTTTTTAAAACGGGTATGTTAGAGAGAAGTTTTTTTGCCATACTTGCGAGAACCATAATGTAACAACCAAGTTGAGTGCTACCAGATATTGTCGTCTTTGGGCTTTTCCCTCAAGCTCACTGCTATCAGATATTGTCATCTTTGGACTTTTTTTTTTTTTTTTCAGGCTTCTCCTCAAGGTTTTTAAAACGCGTATGACAAGGAGAGATTTTCACACCCTTATAAAGAATGTTTCATTCCCCCTGTCCCACCGATGTGAGATCTCACAATCCACCCATTTCAAGGCCCAACGTCATGCTTCGTTCCCGTCTCGAACCAAAGTGGGATCTCATGTATAATGAGAGCTGTATCCATATAC